TGGAGGGTCAGGGCTATATCTGCTACAAACTTGCATCTGAGAACCAACCATATTTACGTCAGTTCAGATGATATTAAAGAAACTGGATATACATATATTCTTCCGAAGAATGTACTTAAGAAGTTTATTACAATTTCCGATTTAAGAGCACAGGTAAGTTTCGATCTCATTTACCTGTCTTGAATAATTATATAATTGGTGTTTGTTTATCTACAGATTTGTGCCTTCCTTTATGGCGTAAGTCCACCGGACAATCCTCAAGTCAAGGAGTTGAGATGTTTAGTGCTACCGCCGCAATGGGGAACTCATCAAACGGTTCATTTACCTACTAATCCGCCCACTCATCCATTCCTAAAAGACATGGAACCTCTAGGATGGATTCATACACAACCCAATGAATTGCCGCAACTTTCACCGCAAGACATTAACACGCATTCGCGATTAATGGATGAAAATTCCAATTGGGATGGCGAAAAAACTATTATCATTACGTCTTCATTTACACCTGGTTCATGCTCTTTGACTGCTTACAAATTGACACCATCAGGATTCGAATGGGGAAAACAAAATACTGATAAGGGCAATAATCCCAAGGGTTACCTACCCAGTCACTACGAGAAAGTACAAATGTTACTATCTGACAGATTCTTAGGGTTCTTCATGGTACCTTCACAGGGTAGTTGGAATTATAACTTCATGGGTAAGCAATTGTGCCTACAAAATAACGTATTTGTTTGCTAATTCTCTTTGTTGTTATTTTAGGTGTACGACATGATCCTAGTATGAAATATGATTTGCAATTGGCCAATCCAAAAGAGTTCTATCATGAGGTTCACAGACCAGCTCATTTCCTTAATTTTTCATCTCTGGAAGATGGCGATGGTGCTGGGGCCGATAGAGAAGATGCGTTCGCCTAACAGTTTTTTTACGTTATTTTTATATTTTGAAATTTGGACTATTTTAGTTGTTTAGATTTAATTTAAGATTATTGTAAATAAATTATATTAAAAACAAGTATATTCCTTTCATTATTAAACATTTCAAATATTGAATTGCAGCCAGTTCTTGCTAGTTATTCATTATTTTATTTATATATCTTCATTTTGTCCAAAAATATATCAGTCTGCAGTACTTTACTGGAATACTTTTAAAAAATACAACATTTATTTAAGGATATTTTAATAGTAGCTCTATTAGTCCATAAAGATATATGTATTTATATTTATTAGAAAAGGTATTATTCACTTTAGCAATAATCATATTTCTTCTTCTTCCTTCCCCATTTTCATTTGGCTTCCGCATTACGCGCCAATAAGCCAGAATAATCATATTTAAGCCTATAGATTAGCAACATATCTATTAAGACAAATGCATGCATGAATGCATGTGCTTCCAAGAACCGCATGCGGCTCCCATTAAAATTTTATTTTTTCACCTAAACCGTTTGCCGTGTGTACGCCGTAAAATTTGACCAAAGATTCTTGTATACTTTTTATTAATATTTTTATTTATTATATTTGACTTTTATTACTAAAATTTTAAATAATTATATTTAATTGTTTTAAGTTCTTATGTTTTGTTTGTTTTTGGTTGGTGAACCTGGATAGTTTATTTTATACCAGCGGTTTCCAAACTGGGAGGCGCCAAATATTTTTAATAAATTAATTTTTATACCATAATATTTTCAAATAAATAAAACGTGTCTATATTATTTAATCTATATCAATAAAAGGTAAAGGAGGCGCGGAAAAAAAAATTTTTTTTAGGGGAAATGCGGAAAAAAAAATTCTGGGAGGCGTAGTAGTATAAAGTTTGGAAACCGCTGCTATATACTTTGATGTCTTCGTAGCAAACGTCATTCTAGTCCTGGTGTAATTGTCCATCTTTGTCTGATTCATGTTAAGCAATCAGATCAGACCCATAAGATATAGGTATAGAATGTAATCACAGATATATTGTTTACCATGGAAAGTGAAAATAGTAATATACCTCTTGAAGATTCAAAGGTAATTGTAAGTGAAACAGATGTTGAGAAGACAGAAGAAACTGAAAATAAACTGAATAGTGATGATTTAAAAGTATCTGAAGATAATGATATTCCTGCAAATTATGATCCAAAAGATGTTTATTATGAGGGTGAAGTAGCCATCTACAAGGATCCTAAATCAGGTTATCAGTACAAATGGGATAAAGAGAAGAATGAATGGGTTAACCATGTAATTTATGGCTTTGAAGATGATACCCACACATACACTGATTCAGATGGAGTAACATTTTTCTGGGATAAAGACAAAAGTGCTTGGTTCCCAAAAATTAATGATTTGTTTATGGCTCAGTATCAAATGAATTATGGGTTTGTTGATAACACAACAAAACCAGAACCTAAAAAAGCTGCAGAACCAAGCCCTGCTGCACCACCTAGTACAGAAGAAAAAAAGCCAGTGAAAAGGAAAGCTTCAGAGCCAGCTTGGTTTGAACCAGAAGAAAGAAAAAATACTAAAGTCTATGTAAGCAATTTGCCTCTAGATATTACAGAAGATGAATTTGCAGAGCTGATGCAAAAATGTGGTATAATCATGAGAGATCCAGTAAGCAACAAACTTAAAATCAAATTGTATACAGAACCTGGAAGTACTGATCTTAAAGGTGATGGTCTATGCACATACATAAGGATAGAGTCTGTAGATTTGGCTTTGAAGCTTCTGGATGGTTATGATTTCAAAGGTAAAGTAATCAAAGTGGAGCAAGCTAAATTTCAACTTAAAGGTCAATATGATCCAAAATTAAAACCAAAATCAAAAAAGCGCAAGGACAAGGATAAATTAAAGAAGAAGCAGTCTCAGCTTTTTGATTGGAGACCAGAGAAGATGAGAGGCGAACGCGCAAAACATGAAAAAATTGTTATCGTTAAGAACGTTTTTGAGTCTAAAATGTTCGATGATGATGTTGGCCTTATATTGGAGCTGCAGGAGGATTTGAGGGAAGAATGTAGCAAATGCGGTGAAGTGAAGAAGGTTGTAATCTTTGATAGGCATCCTGAGGGGGTTGCCCAAATAAATATGACTGAACCAGAAAATGCTGATCAGTGTGTAGCTTTGCTAAATGGTAGGTGGTTTGGCAAAAGGCAACTTTCTGCAGAGATTTGGGATGGCAAGACCAAATTCAAAATTGCTGAAACTGATACTCAAATCAATGCAAGAATAGATAACTGGGAGAAGTTTCTTGAAGAAGATGATGATAAAAAGGTTGTATCAAAATAAGTACTTTGTTGTTAGCAATGTTAAATCATGTTTTTATTTTAAATAATTGTATAAATATATGCTATTAGTACATTCTTCAATTTTCCTTTTTTGTTTATAATACAAAAAATACAAGATATTCATTGTTTTATATTTTTTTGACCTTAACTATTCTAGGAGATATTCAATAGATCATTATATTTTTTTAACTTAAAAGAAATATATCAGGTACCCCCAGATTTACGAACTAAATTCTAAAAGCTCTAATTTGTTACAAGGAGATATATAGTGATAAAAAATTAACTGTCCAAGCAAAAATTGATAATTTATAATTGATGATTGATAATTAATAAAATATATTTTTGGAAGATGCAAAAAACAGTATTTGTTTCTTTTGTCGTGTTTTATTAAATAATTATGTTGTTTACATTGAAAAATATTTGTAAGTAATTATTTGTTTATTTTTTGTCAGTAATACGGAATTTAACATATATAACAGTAAAAACCATGATAAAGTGTGGTAAGACAAGTACATTTAGAATTTTCAAAATTCCTGCAATTACAAACAATCCTTTGGAGCGGTCGTAGAGTCGGGAGTTACCTCTATTGATATAAAATCAAGTATATGAAGTTGCCTCTATTTCATAGTCTCTGACGTTTAACTTAACCTCACGTTTGGACAGTCCATACACGTTTGTTATGATCAACTAGTAGTAAGGTATTGATATCATTTTATTATAAAATGGACTTCTGGAAGGACACCCTTGGTGCTCCTACTAAAATTGTGGCACCTATGGTGGATGCAAGTGAATTACCATGGAGAATTTTAAGCCGAAGGTATGGTGCTGAGCTGTGTTATACTCCAATGCTGCACAGTGCTATTTTCTGCAAGGATCCAAAGTACAGGAAAGAAGCTTTAGCAACGTGTGAAGAAGATAAACCATTAATTGTGCAAGTAAGTTGTGGTTTCAAATAAAACTTCATGTTTCTAAATTGTGATTATTTCAGTTTTGTGGTAATGATCCAAAGATATTGCTAGAAGCTGCATTGTTAGCTGAAGACCATTGCTGTGCAATTGATATTAATTTTGGATGTCCTCAAGCAATAGCAAAGAGAGGTCATTATGGTGCTTATTTGCAAGATGAATGGCCCTTGATTGAAGAAATTGGTAAGACATTTTGATTATATTTTATTTGATCATTTATTGATTATTTTATAAATTTAGTATCGACCTTAAGTAAATCTTTAAAAGTACCTGTTACTTGCAAGATAAGAAGGTTTGAAGAGTTGGAAAAGACTATCACATATGCAAAAATGTTGGAATCAGCTGGCTGTAAACTGTTGACTTTGCATGGGAGAACAAGAGAGATGAAAGGACCATTGACTGGATTAGCTGATTGGGACTATGTGACTGAAGTCAGGTATTATCTATATGTTATTTATGTCATTAAAGGAGATATATTTATGAGAATATTGCGTTTATTGTAGGAAAGTATTAAGCATACCAGTGATATCAAATGGTAATGTACAATGCATGCAAGACATGGAACGCTGTTTAGAACATACAGGTGCAGTTGGAGTCATGACTGCTGAAGGTAATCTCTATAACCCATATCTCTTCACTTACTCTATGCCACCTTGCTGGCAACCCGCTAAAGAATACCTAAATCTTTGTAAGCAATACCCTTGCCCCTTCTCTTATATACGGGGTCACCTGTTCAAATTATTCCACCACCTGCTTTCCTTATCGGAAAACGCTTCACTTAGAATTAAACTTGGTGCTGCAAATAGCATGGAACAATTTGATGAAATAGCTGAGGAACTAAAGTCGCGATACTTACCATATCACGAAGGCGAACAGCAATGGTCAGAAACGCATGAGAGCGGTACACAGAACCTAGTCATTCCTCCTTGGTTATGCCAATCTTATATAAGAATGCCTCCTGAAGAACATCTCAAGTTAGTTGAATGTAAACAGAAGGAATCAGAGGAAATCAATAAACAAGTGAGATTATTGAAGATTAAGTCGGAGAGCGATTATTTAATTTTCTTTTTTATTTTTTGAGAATGAACATCCAAATAAACGAAAATATAAAGACTCAGAAGGAAATCCGATATCAAGGAAGATGATGAAAAAATTGAGAAGGTTGGGAAGGAGACCAGAGAAGATGGATTCTGTGTGTAAAAAGACTATGGAGAAATGCACGAATTGCGTGAATCCATTGGTGAGTGCTTAACAAATTGTGATACTCTCAACATTCAAGTATTATTTTCTTATTTTGCAGGGTGCCAAATGTTTAAATAAATTATGCAAGAAATGCTGCAAGGATAAATGTTTTCTAGAAAATATGGATTGTCCGGGTCATAGAATTTTAGTTAAAACGCGACGACAGATGGCTGCATTTTTTCAAAATGAAGTAAAATGAATTAAATCAATTTGTATTTTAGTTAAAATAATTTTACCATTGAAACTTATCTCTTTTTAATATTATACACATGTTGGATATTTCCGTGGATGAGTTTTATTTAATCAAAAACTGTTATATGACTATCCATGATGATTCAATAAACTTTTTTGTTATTATTTATTTAGTATATTTATATTTGCGTTTAACAACAGTCGGAGATTTGATTCTATATATAGTATTACGACTTTGCAAATTTAGAACTAATCAACATTACTTAATAATAATAGAAATAATAGGTATTGTTGAAAATAGACGAGAACAATATTTACTTAACAAAAAAAAACGGTGCGAATGATATTAATCCTGCAAAATTAGTTAATATTTATTTTATAACTAAATATTAAATGTCTAGTAAGTAGTTTTACATAAAAATATTTATTTTATTGTTTAAAATGTTTATTACTCATTTTATAATACTTTATTTCATACAATATAAATAATGTATACAGAAACTAGTTTGTACAAGAAATATATTATAATACTATCATATAATGCAAATGAAGTTTTCTTAGTCGGATGAATTGGACTGCATAAAAGATAAGCGGTATTGCACAATAATATTATGTAGTTTTTCTTGGCAGATTAATGCATGGCGTAAGGGCAACTGTCTAAGTTGCATAGCCACACTTTTACCAAACAGATCGAACTCATCTTGCGCATTGCTGACATCCCGCGACGTTTGCGTCAAATTATTTCCAACGTTCTCCGCGGTGTATAACTGTGGTAAATCGTTCGTTCTGTTTGGTAATGAAAATATACGATCGTTCCTACTTTTTTGAGCTGTACTTAAGGGCTCGTTCTCTTCTTGCTTAATGTATATAATACCGTTTTCAACGAATAATTGACTATTTGATTCATCACGAGCTGTAGATGTTTTTTTCATTAGCGGACACTCCTCTCCATATTCGTCGTCCTCTTTTTCCTCTTTGATGTGAGATAGTACATTATCCTGAAAACATTATGTTTTACATGATTATATCTTCAAAAAATACAATTAAAAAATATATTTAGATACTATTCACGACGTACGATAGCTTCTGTAACCGAATTTGCTTGTCCTTTGGAATTATCTTTTATACCATATCGTTGTTTGAACCTAATAAACCATCCATGAACCGCCGCAGTACTAAATTCACTTTCTAAGCCTAAAGAGGCATGGAAAATCTTTGCTTGTTTTTCGCACATTTGACCAGAAACATGTACACCTGCACTTCGATTATCGTTCAACCAATTAATCAAAGCATTGTCTAACTCTTTGTACGATGATTTCTTCATGCTCTTCCTCTTTGAAGGACCAAGCTTACTCCGACAATTGTTAGAAAATTCCAAGAGTTTCGCTTTGTTCTTATTGATATCGCGAACCGTTTGTGTACCGATGCAATACTCATTTGCCAGTTTCGTAGTGGATTCTCCACTTTCAAATTTCCTTATTAATTCGAGTTTTTGTTTAATAGTTAGCACAATCTTTTTTCTCTTTTCCGTCATTATTCTTATACAAATATAAAAGTTTTCTTTTCTCAAGTATTAGAGATTTTTAACTGTACATGTTTATTACTACAAACACATTGAACACGTTCTCTAAACTGCGCGAGCCATTGATTATCCGTGCGCAATTTATCCGGTTTGCGGCTTATCCGTGAGCCATATTGTTTTACACAGGAGCGGCTCCAGGATTTATTGAAAATACAAATTTAAATAAATTCGGTTCATATCAGATTTTTATAGGGTCGCCTGTATCACGAAAATCTGATACGAAAGGTCGTTGGTTCAATTCCGAAAAACCAACAAAAATTTGTGTTAAACCCGAAAGGGGTAGAAATAGGGAATAAATCTCTTTAATTTAAAAAAAAATCAGATTTTTATGATACAGATAAAAATAAGATTGGAACAGTTCGAATCTCCGTCAAATATAAAATAAATCAATCGTATTAGAAAAAATACATAAATAAACCTACCACAATTAATTCCCTTGAAACAACTTTTGGACTGCATGGTTTAATGCTTTGCTTCACATGGATTGCATTTATTTTTAGTAACTTTTGTTTTAAGGCAAAGTTTTTACGATCAGGCAAGTTATCTCCAGATTTATTTACTGAATATAGACCGTAACGACGCTTGAAATTCCTTAACCAACTAACGCTGACTCTAAATTCTGGATGACATCTCAATTCGGTACTCAATTTCAACGCTTTTACGCATAAGTCGATCACGGAAATTGGGATGCCCAAGTTGTACTTCATCTGATACCAAGAAAACACTGCCTCCTCGAGGATTTCATATTTGGACTTCTTCATGGATTTCCTCATTCTAAATCTGTTCTTACTGATATTTTTACTGGCCATCTCCAAAATACTTTCTTTCTTATTGTTTATAGTGACTCTTCCAACTTTGTAAGCAGTTGCTAAAGGAGTCTTCCTTTTTTGAAGCCGGTGTATAATATCCATTTTTGATGGAATCGACAAGACATTACGTGTACTTTTTCGGATTTTGCTCATGACTGAATAACACAACTTGACTTTTTAACTAGTTTTTATTAAATAGAATATCATACATTGTAGGTTGTTACAGTTGTTACAGAATAACACAAAACTTTTATCAAACTAAATACGTTTAGACTATAATGGACATAGTTTTAATAACTGACGATTGGATAAAAGACTTTTCGATAGTTGCGCAGCGGCACTGTTACAAACTAATTTTTAAATTATTATATTTTTTTAACCGTCTCAAATATTCATATAAATCGTATGTTTCAAATTATTCCACCTCAAAAAAAATACTATTAAATTTAATTTTCAATTTTGTTACAATAGTATTCACTTTGAGCGAAGATTTATTCATTAATTATAAACAAAAGTGAAATATCAAGCCAATTTTACACTTTAAACTTTCGTTGAATCCAGAGGAATTTATCGATATTAAATCGGATATAATGAAGAGAGCTAATTAGGTATTAGCTATTAAAATATATAAAACTTAATTAGAAATGTTAGTAAAAGATGAGCAACTAGATTTAAATGTTCTAACACACAGAACCATGTAAAGATTATAGTTAGCAAATTGTTTTATATAATCTAATTAATCAGCATATCCAAACGTAATTCTTTTAATTGGCATAGGTTTTATCAATATTTTTTAAAGCGGATTGGGTTGTATAAGTAGATCATTGATGCTGTATTAGTTGTATATAGATGTAATGTTTTCAACTTATCCAAACCATACAAGATAAAATATGAATTTCCTTGATGAGTTAACCAAATCAAGTGAGAAGCCGAAGAGTGAACCTATTAAAAAAGAAGAACCTGCACCAAAAAAGGAAAAACCTGAAGGGGGTAGGTGTTACTTCACTTTTCATTAATATAACCTAACATTTTATAAAGATTTATTATTTTTTCAATATAAATTAATGAACTAATATTGTATTATTAATTTAAATTATATTATACAATATTTTTTATATTTTAAAAACATTTTGTTTATTGGATAGGCATTTAATGGATTGGTCATATGCTTTATTTTGTATTATATAATTTATGTAAACTGAAATGGATTAATTGATATTAATTAATACAACGAAAATATGTATTGTTCTATACAATTATATTGTTAATGTATCTGCATTACTTGATGTCAATAATTTAACTTATTATATTAACTAGCTTTATGCATTTAAGGTGTTGCTTGGGGCTATGACTTGTATCCAGAGCGCAGGAAAGAAAGCGAGTCTAGATTCGCAAATTTAATGCATGGGCGAGACAATCTCGAAAAAATCCGATGCGAAAGAAACGTTTACAAATGCATCAAAACTTCGCCTCTGGTGAAGCTAATGATGGGTGCTTTGAAAAGCTCGGGTTGTCCTATGGATATTCGGAGACACATAGCTTGTGAAGAATGCCATCCAAGCGTTAGCGGAGGATACGATCCGGTGCTGAATCAGATAGTTGTCTGCCAAAATATGGCAACGAACGAAGGTCTCGTGCAAGGAGTGTTAACGCACGAAATGATCCACATGTTTGATTACTGCAGAAACGATCTGAACTTCAAGAACATTGATCATTTGGCTTGCACGGAAATTCGCGCTGCAAATTTGGCCCATTGCAGTTTCGTATCGGCGTGGATGCAAGGCGACACATCATTCTTCAATTTCAAAGAATCCCATCAGAACTGCGTGAAATCTAAAGCTCTAAAGTCCGTTTTGTCCGTAAGAACTGTCAGCACGGAGGAAGCCATAGAAGCAGTGGAAAGGGTATTCCCTAAATGCTATAAAGATTTAGAACCCATTGGAAGACGCATCAAAAGGAACTCGAACGATATGTACATGGCATATGCTGAAGGATATTTATATGGTTATGATAATTAACACTGCATTTTGTATATAATAATTTGTACAAACATTAGTTAATAAAAAGATAGTAAAATCGAATACAATTGTATATTTATTTTTGGTAAAACAATTATATAAATATTGAGTATTGGTGTGTGATTTGATCTATAAAATTTAAAATAAATTGTAAAATCATATTTATATATAATATATCTAAATCTACATTTTAGTTTTTTTGGTTTAGTTGCTTCTTGATGCTATTTTCAATTAATTTTACGTGTGCACATATGCAATTAATTCGTTAATAAATTAGCAAGTTCCCTAATGACGTGCTGATTTTCATGCATATAAGATTTAGTTTCCCAGAGCATCTTGACTAGTTTCTCGTCGGATTTCTCATCCATTGATATGTCTTCGGACATCTGAGGTGTAAACCGGAAGTACGGTACACCAATAGAGGAACACCAAGCTCGGGCGCGATCAACAACTCTACCGTCACTGGCTGTGGCCTATATATTTAACATAATCTTTAGCAACAATTCTTAAAATTTTAGATATGTCTTACCTGATCTACGAGCAGACCACCTAAGGCTGATATACCAACAACCATTTTAACACTGTCCCAAAGTCGTTCTGGTCTATAAACGTCAACTTTCAATTCAGTAACGGGAATGAGGCCTGTGCCTAAACTAACCACGGCACTCAAATTTGTAACTTCGTCTTTCCTTCCGACTGCACGAAGAGCTAGGTTTAATTCATGAATTTCTGTCAATGCATCTAACGTTGGATTATTGGCAATCAAGCCACCATCCAAGAACCTCCCAAACGCCCTGAAAATAAAAGTTTTTACTTAATCAAACTTAATTCATTTCAATTATAAATTTTAAAAACGTATAAGTTTCATTAGAAAGTAAGCATTAATTGCGTACAAAAAACTATATAATCTTAAATATTCTATATAATATTGAGTTAAAAAATGACCTGAAGTATGTTGGAGCGGCACCTGTAGCTCTTCCAACTTCCCAAACTAATTGTTCATCTGGTTTCGCCGGATTTTGGTAAGGTCCTTCTACCTTAATATCCAATAAATCGCTGGCCGATTGATAATTTCGGAATAAATGCAAATCAACCGGTTTCCTGTCTGCCAAAACTCCGGTGACCAGCACTTTTGGATATTTGATATCGGTCATCACGGTTTTTGTGCCGAACGTGTCCTTCAGCACATTCTCAAGTGCCTCACTTGGGTACGGTCTTATGCCGACAAAAGTCAACTCCTTCATTCTGAAGTATAAGCACAAGCATTCCCTCATATTCTTGCCCGAAGCTATACCCAATGCAAGGATTCCTCCAGTACTCGTTCCTGCTACCCAATCGAAACAATGATTAAGAGGTTTTCCTGTAGCTTGTTCAATAGCTAACAGCATTTGGATCAATACTAATCCACGAATACCTCCGCCGTCTAAGGATAGCAAACGACCTTTACTCCCTTCTGGCTTTCTATGTGCAGCAATATCCAGTGCAGCTACAGAAAGCATTTGATTTAAAATATCCCGATTCGTAGGTCCCATAACATCTGGCAGTGGTATACCATTAAAAGTACCATTAGCCTTGCAACCATCGGTGCAGTCGACCATGTCTGGCGGACATCTAGCTGCCCCCACAGCATGCAGATAATATAATAATTTATTTTCTTGTTCGCGAGTCATCATGTGTCTCGGGGTTTGACCTTTGTTGTTAAGGACGTCTAAATTCGCCCCGAACACGATTAAACTTTGAATAATTGGAATGTTCCCGGTTTGGATTGCCAAATGAATGGGTCTGTTACCATCACAATCTCCCATATCTAAATCAGCTTGACGGCTTAAAAGAGCCACAACACATTCCAAACGCTTCCTGATTACCATCACGTGCAGAGCGGTTTGTTTGTCGAAATTCAATGCATTTATATCGCATTTAACATCAACCAACTCCTCGATAACCAATCGAGAAGACGACCAATGTAGAGGAGTACCTCCAAATTTCATATCCTGCGGAGAGAGAACGTTAGGATGATCCTGAAGATAATTCCCAACGTAGCCTGGTGGAATTGGAGGCGTGTTGCAATCATTCTGGCAATTAGCTGCGATGTTCACATCGGCTCCACCCAACAGCAAAGCTTTAACACATTCGGGTTTATCGGCTAAACAAGCAATATGTAATGGCGTATAGCCCTGATGATTACGCGCATTCATGCATCGAGGTGTTGATCCTTGGGTCAACATCTATAAAGAAATTCTGGTAGAAATAAGCGTTGATACGCTAATAACTTTTTCTTACCGAGATAATGTCTTTATTTGTATTAGCTGCATAGTGATAAACTGAATTTCCTTCATGATCCAAATGTTCCAGAGAGCATTTTGCGCTTATCATACGTTTAACTGTTGGCAGATTGTTTGTCGATATAGCGACTTGCAATGGCGACATTCCTGTTAACACATCGCTGCTGTTTAATTGACTGTTTACCGCCGAATGATCGAAAGCCTCGTTCAATCCAAAATGAGCTGCTAAATGAGCAAGTGTCCATTCTGGATGTTCTGTCAGAATGTCACACAATTTCTGCAGACTGTGTACATTGGCCATCTACATACATATCATTAATTAATTATATATTTCAATAATATTATATAACAATAAATTTGCAAATTTATTAGTCCTTTCAACCAAAATCTAACAAAGCCTTTCTGCTTTACTAATATTATTAAAAGGGAAATATTGATATCCAAATTGTAAATATATTGTTATATATTTTTCTCAATAAAATAATTTAGCACAAACATTACTTATATTTATAAAATTGCTTCTGCAACTAAGGCTTTATTTAAATAAGAATTGTGATATATGTATTAAAATAAATATAGAAATATAATTAATTGGTAATAAATATAGTAGGACTCTTAATATTTACATTTACAAAATGTGCCATTTATTATGTCATGCAACCTCCACTATATTAGTGAGTCATTAAGATTTATAATAAATGTTTGTTACTAAAAACCATGATTTAATACTTTAGTTATAAAATTCAATAACGTTTTTTATTAGATATGAGTAATGTAATTGAATTAGGAAATCCAAATAACTTAAGCATACATTGAAATAACTATTGTAGTAAAATAATGGAAATATAAAATCAAAACATACCTCTTTGCAGACATCAATAAGTATTGGAACTTTATCTTTGAGACAAACAAACTTGTTTTCTGCATCTTCCTTAACATCTGCTCTAAATAAACTGCAAATTAGCAATCATTAAATTTTAGATTATCTTATATAACATTCTTCAATCACCTATATGCTTGATGAAGGCTCTCAGTATAAGGCTTGTTCATAACTATTTCAAAATGTGCTTTATCTTTTTTACTGTTTGAGGGTCCATAAAGCACTAAGCTTTCTTCCCTATATAAAACATCTCGAGAACTATACACATCAATATTGACATCCAACACTCTTGTAGGCTCCACATCAGAATTCAAGAAGCTCCTCAAAACTGAAATTCAAATGTTAATTGAACATTGTAATTAATTCCTAAAGTAAAATCAAACAGATCCATAAAAGAAAAAATGAAATTATTATAAATGAATAGTGGTATTAGTTTACAAACCAAAATTAAATCCTTGGGCCAACATATTTCAATTACTTTTAATAAATAACGATGGATAAGAGGGTCGTAATTTCAATATTATCGCATATAACCTTTACTATTTTGCATGTATTTTTTATAATCTGTCAATGTGACGTTTTGAACTTTTGACTTTAGGGAATTTTTACGTATAGTAGTGTTTTAAATATTTTCTTAAATGTATGCTGTTTTGTTGGCAACAGTTACTCGGCCATTTTAGCTGGCCTATGCTCAGCTGTCAATTTCGTGTTTATAACATTCTGCGAATAAAACAGATTTTGTCATAAGAACCGGGCTTGAAAGTACTACAAAGATGTATAACGAGGAATTCGAGGTAGGTGTTAGCAATTACACATTGCATTTTTTTATATTAGACTATACTTCTTAACTTTGCAACATGGTAGTAACTTAACCTAAATTTTTGTAAATATGTTTGGCTCACCGACGTGCTTTGCGTGGATAAGTCCCATTTGAAGATATTTATTTCATAAAATTTACTAGAGATCTGGGTTGACGCTATTCGCGTCACTTGTTTTCGTGACAAATACGAAATTTACAATATCTAGTAGCTTGTTTCTATTTGTTTGTTTCATGATGCTGCATATTTAATTTAGTTATTGTAATAAAGAATTAATATTTATAAAGTCAAAGAATTTAGTTGTACACCAATTTATCTTTAATAATTGTTTTAATATATAATTCTGTTTCAGAATTATGACACCTATAATGTCGACCAGGAGTACATGGGTCACACTGGTGACCCAGCTTTGGACAGTGAATACAATAAGCAAATGTACAAGATGCCTGAGGTTGTGAAGAAATACTTGATGTATTTTAGGAATGCAGTCAATGAGGGACTGGTCTTTGAACTGCAAACTCTGTATGAAGTCACTTGGCCAAAGATCTCTGATGATTTCTTTGAGAAGAGGCCATGGCCTGAAGAAGCTGATGTTTCTGCCCTGGTGGACAATGATATGGTAAGGATAAAAAAATACCTTCAGATCCCTTTTCTGACACAACACTAACACCTTCCTTAATACACTCTTTGACATGATTCTTATATTTTTCCATTTTGTAAGTATATTCTTCTGCTCTTTTCATTTTTGCTTTGTTCTATGTCTCTCAACACACTCAATACAATAATGAAACAGAAAATTTCCCTAGGTTATTATATATATTGATTTAAACTAATCATTTATAAATGTGGGAATGTGAATCTGCTTTTCAAATTATATCCTCTGTGACATTCATTATATAATAACATTGATATTTATTTCTTTGTCATAGGTATTTATGATTTTATACAAGGAATTGTATTACCGTCACATTTATGCTCGCATCCAAGGTGGTCCAACTTTAGAACAGAGATTTAACTCTTTCTTCAACTATTGCGATCTCTTCAATTACATTTTAAGTGCCGAAGAGCCAGTACCACTAGAGTTGCCCGATATGTGGCTTTGGGAGTTGGTCGATGAATTCGTATATCAATTCCAATCGTTCGCTCAATACAGAGCCCGCCTGCAGAAGAAATCCGACGCGGAATTGGAAACATTGAACGCTCATAATAAAGTGTGGAATGTTTTATGCGTGCTCAATGTCTTGCACTCGTTGGTAGACAAGAGCAACATTAAGCAGCAGTTGGAAGTATTCGCCAATGGAGGTGATCCAGATTCCGTCGCCGGAGAATTCGGCAGGCATTCTCTCTACAAGATGCTGGGATATTTCTCGCTCGTTGGTTTGTTGAGGTTGCACTCACTTTTGGGTGATTATTACCAAGCCATTAAGGTTTTGGAGAATATTGAAGTGCACAAGAAGTCGCGTTATGCGCACGTTCCCGCATGCCAAATTTCAACATCTTATTATGTTGGATTTGCCTACATGATGATGAGGCGTTATTCCGATGCGATCAGAACATTCTCTTCGATCTTACTGTATGTTCAACGCACCAAGCAGTTGTTCTCTACCAAGAGTTATCAACACGATCAAATCAATAAGCAAACAGACCAGATGTATCATTTATTAGCTATTTGCTTAGTTCTTCATCCTCAATGCATTGATGAAAGCATTCAGCAAACTCTCAGGGATAAGAGCTACCACGAGAAAATGTATAAAATGCAATACGGAGATTTGCAGGAGTTCGAGAACTGTTTCATTTTTGCATGCCCCAAGTTTTTGTCTCCGTGCCCACCCGCAGTTGATACCGCTCCTGAAGATTATTCCAAAGAGGCGATCAGGTATCAAACTCAAGTTTTCATGGATGAAGTCCAACAGCAAAAGTGTTTACCAACAATTAGAAGTTACTTGAAATTATACACTACTTTGCCTTTGATCAAGTTAGCTACGTTCATGTCACAGAACCAACGTGGCGTAGAGAAGGATTTGGATAAAGAAACGCAATTGTTGACCATCCATCTGTTGTGCTTCAAGCATAAAATGAAGAATGTTGTTTGGTCCAAGGGCGCATCTGGATTGGAAGGAAAATTCCAAAGTGGATCCGAGTTGGATTTCTACATTGACAACGACATGATCCATATCGCCGATACTAAAGTCGCACACAGATATGGAGATTTCTTCATCCGTAAGATTCTGAAGTTTGAAGATCTTAACAGGAAATTGCATCATTTGAAGTTGTAACAAGTGGGCACAAAATAAATGATGATTAAGTATTTTATAATTGATTTGCATTGAAACTCGATTTTACGAGAAGGTTTTGTTGTAAATAATAATAAGTAAAAAAATATACTAATAATGTTGTCTTATTTAATTAAAACCTCAGTATAGTTCAAAAATTTATTAAATATCAATATCACAAAACTATTATTCGGCAATTTGTTTAGGTTTAAATTTGTTAAATCTTGGCCTATTATTTTTATGCACCACGTCTACAGGTGTCTTCTTCTGTCTGTACAAAGACGTATGCCTCGCTTTAAACCTTGCCGTTTTATCATTATAAAATTTGACGTCCGTATCGGTTTTTTGTCTGTATTGAGTCCATGGATGTTCTTCTTCCTCGAGTTCAACTTCGTCTTTGAATTTATTGTACTTCATTTTAAATACTTGATAATTTTTATCGAATGTTTTCGATCGTTCTTTTCCGTCCTTTCCATATTTACATTTTTTCTTGAAATCTTCTAAATGTTGCATGAATATTTTATTTGGTTTTATATTCTCTTTAGTGCAAATTGCTAATATTTCTATAATATATGAAAAATTGAAGTGGAAACAAGCTTGTTTTAACATAGCACCTAAAATCTCGGTATTTAATCTGAAAAAATATTACAAATTATTATCTATACAAATATAAATTAAACAATATTACCTCAATCCTGCTTGATTAAAATAAGCCAAGAATTCAGTAGCCTCTTCTTTATTTTTACAACCCAGAGCTAGAACACCGTAAGTAATAATGTCTGGCTCAAAGCGGGCCGTCTTAATCAATCCTAGCACTTCTTTGGCTGACTCGTAATCCGCTCTCATGCTTCTTTTCTTTATTAACATATTATAAAAATCCAAATCTGGCTTTGTACCCAGTTTCTTCATGGTTAACAGAACATTATTTTCTGCAACATTAGTACCAGGAATACAATTGAGCATTTGCGTATAAGTTTTGATGTCGGGTTTACAATTATTTTCTAACATGTTTTCAATATATGCAGAGGCTCCACCCAAAAGCAGTAAACGATCTGAAGGTTTCTTAACTTCAGACAATGAAATGATATTCCCTAAATGAGGTACTTTGGCCATTAAATTAGGTCTGCTTGACTGAATGTTTCCTACATTTTCATAATTTTTATTGAAATCTGATGTAGTCAATTTTCCAAAAGATTCAAGTTCTCCAAATTTATCTTCAATTGGATTCTCATGAACTTCAGGTAGTTGCAGAAATTTGTCACCTTGTGGTAATATCTTTGTAAGAACATCTTTGGTTACTTCTAAATCACCTAAACCACAATCTCTAATGGATCTTAGTAGCAAATTGTAGGTAAAAATTGATGGTGTTATTCCTTTATCCACGAATTTCCTCCAAACTAATAACGCATGCCTAAAACCAGCCTCTTTATCTGATATACAAGCTTGCAACAAAAAGTTTAATGTATCATCTTTGATAGGCATTTTTTTGGAAATCATTTCATCCACAACTGCAAATGCAGATATTAAATCACCTCCTCTTCCATATGCTTTGATCATTGCATTGTAATTACTATCATTTGGTTCATGTCTTTTTTCTATCATAATGTTATGAAGATGCTTAGCTCGTGTTAGACCATCTGTAGTTGGCCAAGGACTGTTTGCACAGGCATTAAAAAGAGCAGTATATGTACCATCTGTAACTACTAAACCTCTTTTTTTCATATTATTATATAAAGAAAATGCTTTTTTTGTGTAACCAACTCGACCACAGGCACCCAACAAGAGATTGTACAAATAGTTTTCAGGTTTGACACGATCTTCTTTCAACATTTTCACTTCCACCACATCAATAGCTTCCTTTATTTTTCTTTTCCTTATAAATGACTTAATCATATCTGCATATTGCTTTGTGCTTAACTGTTTTGAACGATCACCAACTTCTTGCAAATATTTCTCTTCTTTTGCATCATCTTCATCAATAATTTCATCTACAATCTGTTGTCCAAATGTGTCTGGATCATTTTTCATATGTACTAAGAATTCATTTTCTGATAAAACATCATGTTTATTAATTTGCTTTGAAAGTGTGGGTGCTATTACTTCTGATTTTTCAGTTAAAAACTTTGTTGTGTGAAATTGCCTGGACACTGCAAATTGATGTTGACATGCATATTGACTATATTTCAAACAGTTATGTGCACTTCTTAATCGCAAAATCTGACGAATACTTAACTTAAACATTATAGAACTTAAACTTGTAATGAATTTAATTTGTGAAAATCTTACATAACCTCAAATAACAATGTGACAAAATTATTATACGTATTATTATTTATTCTTTAATTACTATGTTTCATATTATCCTAGTTGTAATGAAAATGTTATACTGCTATAGACCCGGTAAAAGTACATATTTATAAAAAATAAAGTTGATATTTCTGTATACTTAGTTGTATATATCCAAATAATTTTATTTTATTATTATTGGATGTATATTTATATCAATTTATACTATTATGGTAGTGTTCAGAGTTGAACAGAGTTTTGGAATTATAAAGTGTTCATTCATATTTTGCAGAGTACGTACTTATATAGTAGAGATAATGAAATTTTCTTAATAATCAATATTATTTTAAACATGAAATTTGAAGGGAGTAGGAGTTAATATTGAAGTATTTCCATAAAGGGTAAAGGTTTAGTAGTTATGAGTATATGAATTGTATATTGTATATGAATAATGTTTTGTTAAGGTAAATATAACAGTTTTAGATTTCGCAAAAATATTTTATTATAATTAATATTTTAAAACATCAATAAAGTTGTGTCATAACAAATATATTTTTTTTAATATTACCTTTATCCACCATTAAAATATCAATATCTTATCATTAAAGCACACATTGAATATTTATCGTTTTTAAAATTAATATAAATATATATACATTGTTTTTGATGTAAAAATATTAAAGACGGATATCTTTATTTATGTATATTTTTGTCCGTTGGTAAAATATAATTACATACAAGTCCTTCTGTTTTCTTATATGTACATTGAGCTTTGAATAAAATTAAGAAATTTTAGCAGATAGAACATTTAAAAGCGTAAATTGGAATAGAGGTACTTTAAAATTGTCTGGATGTGGTGCTTGAAGTTCTGGATGGTGAAGCCGGATTAGATAGACCCGATTCGTGTATTGGAGATAGAGCAGGTGTTTTTGTTCTATGAGCGGCATTACTACGTCTACGACGGCGGTAAGGAGGCAGCGGTCTACGGATAGATGTATTTATCCTTTGCTGCTGAAGAATGGAAAGTGCATTTGCTAATTCAGAATCACTTATTGTGCGACGACGAGGAGGAGGCGGTAGAGGTAACGGGGGTAGTGATTGTTGATTTGTTATAGTGTGTACTGTTATTGTGTCAGGATGGTCATCCACGGTGGTGGTGGATGGGGTGACTTGGTTAGACCTGGAGCGGCGTCTTCGACGGTGATGACCGAGGTTTCCTAAAACACGAAAGAGTACGCGTATTTTGGCGCTGGACCAGTGGCCGTGGCTCGTGCTGCGGCTCCTATTGTCCAGTTTGTTTTTGGCATGCTTGCATAAGGACATGAGGCAACGAGGTTCTTCGTCTGGACTATCAGGCACCGAAACGCAGCAGTTCCATCTCTGTTTAAATTTACGTTGCACCTGCGGTGGATCTGCAGGAGCTACGGAGTTGCTGATACATACTTGGCAATCCTGAGGAGTAGACGGCGGCGTCGGAGTGCAAGTGAATGTTTCTTCTAAAACGGCGAACAATGTCATTCGGGATCTTTCTTCGCAGCGAAGATTGGCTGGGCGATGGCGGAGAGCAGATGGTGTACAGTGATGGGAGTTTTGAGTAGGATTGGTGGGTGGTTCTTGTATTTGGGGAGTTTGATTGGTTTGTCTTTGTTGACGAATGTACTCGTAGGTGGTGAGGCCAAGGAATGATATGTAGATGTGGAAGAAACACAGGTGAAGGAGGAGACCGGCTACAATTACGGCGAGTAGTCCTAGGATGGCGACAACTGCCAGGAAGGCGGCGTCGCTGGATGGTAGCGATGAGGACGGCTGTTGTTGGTAAAGTGGCGGCGGCGTCGTCGAGGTCGACTCATTGGTTGCGGGTTGCTTGGTGGTCAGCAGCCAGGACGTTGAATCCGTGTGGTGGAAGATGAATTCCACGAAGGCGAGAAGGGCAACGAAGGCGGAAGCCGCCACCGCCGTTGTAACGCACATAAGAAATGGTGCGTAATTGCGTGCACCCACGCAGTGGTTCAACCACTTGCAGTGGTGGTCAAATTTGGCCACGCACTTGTTGCACGCGCTGCAGTGTTTCGTTCTTGGACCAGATATGAGCACCTTGCATAGGTGGCACAATCCTTCCTCGATGACGTGCGCGTGTTTCACCCGGTCCAGGGGCGGTACAGGCTCCGGGATGCGCTTCCTCAGCGCCGCCTCCGCAGGATCTATAAGGGCGGCTCCGAGGTGCGCCGCCAGGTGGAGCAACAGGAGGGTGCTCAGAACACCTAATGCACCTGCCTGCAAATTGATCGGCAACGCAGGGACCAACAGCAGGAATGCACTACCTGATAACACTATTAGCGCCAACCACCCGGACACCTGCAAAGGGTGCAGAGGCAACTGCAGCCCGTGTTCGCGCCGAAGAACACGAGGACCTCCAGTGCTAAGCATCACATGCTACATCACAACACAATTTCTCACTACACCACATCCTGATCACAGCTCAGTGGCGGCTGCACCACCCAATGTTTGTATCGACCGGCATTATATTCATATATATATATATAACACTGGCAACGGCAAAGACCTACCGCCCCCCTACTTCTAACCCAAATTCTCTCTATTCCAAGCTGTTTGTACAGATGCCGCCACTTTATTTCACCACCCCCGGGAGGCCCGAAGGGTGCTGACTCTTAAGAATCAAACAAAGTGGCAAACTCTTAAATTCTAATTGAAGACTCGGAATACCTGAGGGTTTTAACCAGCAAATCTCTCCCAAACTATAAGGATCAGTAGTCTATACAGAAATCAAGGAATATGATTATATTGGAAAAGAACCAACACAATAGAAATATATTATAAATTATGTAAACAAGGCACGACATTCTTCAAATTACCTATACTTAAATCGTTTTGTTCAATTTAATTTTAATATTTGTTGATTTCGATAACTTACTATTAAAAATGTACCAAAGTTTCTGAGGTATTAAAACAGATGATACTTTCATGATATAATATAGCAATTGTTAATCTTTAAAGTAAGTTAATAATTATTTTTATAAAGATGAAGTTCTAAATAAAAAAAAAATGCTCGCTGAAATGGATGTAGAATAGGATGCTAACAAATTAAAGTTAAAATTTTCTTATTTATTTAAACACTTTTTGTTGGTCACTTGGATCAAGGGCTATCTATCTAAGCAAATGTATTAATTTGGCTTAATTGGACTAACATTAAATTGAAAATTGAACAATACTCTCATGTATATTATAAAAACGTATTATTTTCTAATTGTTGTTAATTGTTGAATTCATAAAGTAGTGTGGATTAATATTATTGGAACAATAATTTATTATTGATAAGATTACGTTTTTAACATTATTTGAAATTAAAAAAAAAACAAATTTATTATTTTATAATAAGTGAAAAATACATGTTGTCATTTTCAACTAGTATTATACAAGACGCATTTGAAACAGTAATCAATTCATTGATCATAATTGAATTGAAGTTTTCTATGAATTGCACCTGCAACCGTTTACATGTGACATATAATCCTACAGACTTTATAATAGCATCTGTTTATTATTGATACGAAACTTTAAATTGTTTAATTTATAAAGAAGAAACGTCAGGTTATTTTTTTTTACAATTATGACATACATGGTACTTTACATAAACGGACATTTTAAATAATTTTGTATTACTTTAATACAGCAATACCTTGCATACTTGACTATAGGTTTTGTTTTAGTACAAATAAACCGTGAAAGTAAAAAAGTTTGACAGACACCTACTGGTACGGATGTAAAAAGAACGATCATTTATGTATAAAAAAAAGTTGTGTACAATATTTTACATTTTATTTTGTCATTTAAAAGAAATTTGCAAACTATATTATAATGAATCCGCATTGATCGAAGCCGCACTATGCAAGTTATTGCTGTATTTACTCGAAGAGGATCAACGCTCGTAGTGAAATATGATGTAACAGTATGAAATAGGTGCAACAGTTAAACATCAAATTATTACGAATCTCGGTTATTATTTCCTCTTTGTGTGTGAAACTATTGAGTTGTTTCACAACAGAAGTGTTACAATGGTGGTGCAGGCAAAGGTTGACAAAGTCAAAGCTAAACGCAATAGATTCAAACAATTAATGAATTATAGCACTGGGAAACCCCAAATCAATCGACATATGCGCAGTATTTGAGTTAGAAATATACATCAAATAACATCTTCAAAATATCTTTTTGTTCAATTATTGTTTAATAATTCGAAATTATCATCATCATTATGATTTACAATGGTAATTTCAGAATGGAAAAAGGTCAATATTTTGATTAATTACATAAACATATCTAGTTATTTATGATCATTTAGATTACGTTAACTATTTTGGCTATACATGTAGATTAATGCTGTTTTATGAAACTACATTATGTGGAAAACAATGGATTTTACTAAATACCTATGCGCGCCACTACAAAGAATCAGGCGCTGTAGCCATAATGCAATTATTATTACCACAAGGATCATTATTTTATTATCGCTATTATTAATTAAACAGCATTGTTTGATTGATAACCGGATTATATGAGTATTGAAGATTTGCAATAAATTTGCGTTAATAACGGCAATCTATCAAATCCATACAAAAATACGTGTTATTTCGGAACGTATGCCTAATAAACTTTAACAAGATTGATCGACTTATTAGATTATCGTTTTTCTGTCTGCATATACATTTTTCACGAAAAAAGCTTTTAGAATAATAACGCTACATCCTTGTAACATATAACAAATTATTATTGATATTTTAAATTAAATTTATAAATAAACATCTTAAATATATTTTTTACCTAGTAATGTGATGTAATTAGATACACATAATTATTCTAAATAATTATAATACGCAAACGACATAGATTAAGAAAACCATTCAGTTTGTTTCAATTTAAAAATATCTGCATTGTTAACAGTAAACTTATGTCGAACGTACGAATTTCCACGATGTACTAATTAATATAAGTTATGTTTGCTTGTAATCATAACAAGATTGATTCAACTTATGAACAAAATGAAACGAGACTTAAGTATCAAATATTTCTAAATTAAATAATATAATATACTTAACGAGTTTAATCCGTTCTAAAAATTTCCGGATTTTTACTCGTATAGTGAAACATATTCAAAAATACACATAATATGTGTACACAAGTTTTAAAAATGATGTAGCAGGTGCGCAATCCGGGACTTCTCTTCTCATCGTCACTCGTTAAGCGAGTCATTTTTTCTTACAATTCATTTTGCTCGTTATGCGAGGTGATCGTTAAACAAGGTTCCACTGCATATAAAATTTGAGTACAGTTTCAGAAATTATTTTTGTTGCTGAACAAGTAACAATTTTTCCACATACTTCCTAAGTCCATTCAGAAGATAACATAGACACATTAGATTTCCATATAAAGAGTAGTGTATTCTGATAATAATGCAAGTTTTTCGATAAGTTTGATATGAAAAACGAGAAACTAAATTTGGTATTTAAGCAGTTTTTGAATCCGATTTTGATGAACAGGTGTTTTTCAGAGAACAAAAAAAACCTGTTGCAGACGGCTTTTCATCGTATGATAATAGCTTTGTGATTTAAGCAAATTAAGTAATAAAGCAAAAAAAAAATATGAATAAATCATACATTTAAGTATTCTAGTAAGAATACAAGTTTTGATCTCGGAAAAAAAAATAGATGTTCCAGACTAATAAATTTCATACTTAATGAAAGAAACGAATGGATTATGTTCATTCATATTTATTATGTAAATAATTATCATCATGTAAAGTTTCAAAGTTGACCTCCATTTCTATACGATTCTTGTCTATTTGTATTTATTTTTGACAATATTTTTTGATTTTGTGAAGGTTAGCGACCGAAATTATTAATCCAAACGTTAATCAATTTTTCGATCTTTGTGTAGTTAATATAGTACAGGTAAACGTCGTTTTACGCCGGGATTCCGTTCCTACAAAAGCCGTGGCAAATCGAATCGGCGTAAAATGAACCCATATTTGCAGTGAGGTAACTATAGAGCTTATTTCTATATTAGTTTAAAATTAGCAATTAATAAGCTTTATTTCACAGCGGCGTGATTGTGAATCGGCGAAAATCTAACCGGCGCAAAATGACGTTTACCTGTATTGCTTTTCATATAAATTAACAAATATTTCAATTATTCAGCGTTTTTCTTAAATTAATTAAAATTTTGATGATATTTTTTCTATGTCATATATTCATTTTCAATATATTATAATTGATTTATAATTAAAACGTTTAATATTTAATATGTGTTTATTATTTATTACAGTTATCATTAGTTAGTAAATATTATGTGACGTAAATTGACACCAAGACGTAAAATATTAATGACAATAAAAAATATTTGAATTGATGGAATCAAATAATTTAAGTTACTTTTTTTTTCTAAATTATATGATAATTTTTATATTCTTTTTTCTAAAATTTATTATTATAATTAAATAATTGAAATTGGGCAGAAAAACCCATGGTCAATAGCCATTTGCAGCATTTAAATTTTATTTTTATTATTGTATTGCGTTTAAATGTTGTATTAATAGCATTGTTTGGTTGATATTATAGAAATAGTTAAGTACTTGCTTTTCTGGTAAGTACTAACTTATATTTCGATGGTCTTATGAAGTCTTATTAAGTTTAATTTTCTACATTTTCTCTACGTTGTAATCTATTTAAAGAGACGTATGTTGCTTAACTTTCTCAAGTTGTGTAATGGATTGTACAAAGTACATGTACTTATTAATGCTCATTATTGAAAATGAAACTACGTTGTGTTTACATCTATCTAGTTTGGTGCAAAATTAATAGTTGAACGTTGTTATGGTAAAATGATTCAAATATTCTTAGTCAATGTAAGTAAATATCTTGCTTTTCTTGTATTCACTAGTTTTGGAAAATACGTTAAAAAATAATGTAAAAGTAAATCAATTGTTAAATCTTAACATTTTTACGTAGTATGAAATGCGATTAATTTTGAAGTTTTGGTATCATCTTTCTGTATCCCTCATTTTTTAGAAGGATAGTTATGATAAAGAACTTGTTTGAATAAGCCGAATTCGGGATGCAATGATTGGTAGTTGATTGGAGAAGGATCGAACCCCCACGCATCAGGTGAATAATATGTGTTTGTGAGCATGTGTGTGTATATATAACAGATGCGAAAGCAATCGCAACATTTAACTGGCTGGCAAACTAACCATTCATTCAAATTCGAGCTCTCCTCCAGTGTCTTTAGGTCTTCAACAACTTTACTTTGGTAACGCAGAAGTATCCAAGTGCACCGCGAAGTAACGTAATATGAGATGATATCTTTACGAAGACAGTTCCTCGTCCAGTTGCTCGCCCTTCTGGTAACGGGTCAGCCGATCCACCTTACCGAAGACGAGATGAACAAAGACATTGGCATCATTACCACAACTTCCAGTGGTAACCAAATACGCAACTCCATCCTCCAATATTCGGTAAATATATACTTTTAATAATATTCACAAAAAATGCATAACAACAGTAAAATTTGTTTTCTTTAACGTTGAATTTGTTGAAAACAAAAAGAACTACGGGTATTAGTTTATTGCATGTGGTTGTTTTTTTTTATTAAATATATAAATTTAATTACAAAACATATTTGTAAAACACTAATAATATTTTGTTTTTTGCCAATAATTCATGATATAACTGAAAATTCTCGATGATCTTAGGTAAGTTTGGAGAAAAGACCTAAGGCCAATAGACCTTTGAAATGGTTATTTTTTATTACTAAACAAAATACAAAAGATACACAGTAACAATTGAAGTAAAATATTCAAAAAATCAATAGTTATCAAAAAAATGTCATTATAATATTATTATTATGCCATTATAATTGTATAAACCGTAGTTCTCTTTTTGACCTGAAATTGATGTTAGAAATAAAATACAATTT